TCTGATGAAATTGAATTTCGGGTGAAATTTTCCAATGATAGTTAATACTTAAGTTTTGAAATTTTTCGATAAAAGATTCGATTTTGCACGAATATCTCTTGAAAATTTTCAATCAGCATTATCATAAGCCAAGAGACAAAGTAGCATACCGTTGGGTATTGAACCTCTGCTGGTTTATATCTCTAATTACAAAAGTAACGAATAAATAAAACAAAGCACTTGTCAATTGAAGGTAATGTTCACTGTACTCAAATTATTTTTCAATAAATAAATGCAAGATAATAAGTAAATATATAGAATGGTAGAGAATTTCAAGCTATGTCAGAAAATATAATTAATTTTTATGATAATGACAAAAATGAAGTTTGTAAGAATCTCTACATAAGTGTGTTTTCATTAAGCTTACTTTATTTCGATAGTACATAAATGTAAATTAAAATATAAATAGATAAGATAATAAAAAACTCTGTAATTATTTTTTGTTTTGTTTTGATAATGATGATATATTTAAATAAACCAAAAAAAACATAAAGCATATCCATTTATTTGCAATTCAACAAGAAAAATAAATAAATAAATCTGAATATTTATAATAAAAGAAAAATGTATAAGTAGTAGTCTACAAATTGTATTATTATTATTATTCTTCTTGAACCAATTGTGGAACTTCTATTAGAGACGTTTGAAATGATGGATGTCGATATTCTGCAATAGGTACAAGTGAACTATTTCGACTTGATGTTCCATGTGGATGTAAAGTACTCCATGGAAATATACGACGATGTTTTACTCGTTCACTTGCTTGATAATTAATATTTGATAATGGACGAATTGTTGCATTATCAGGTACAGTTAATTGTGTACCTTCAAGTCGAAAACCTCGTATTTCAATTGGCATCGATTGAGATGGATCATGTGAATGTTGATGATGTTCATCCTAAAATATATCGAAAGAAAAAAAAAAGAAAAGAATATGATGATATGTATACCATGTCTCGTGACAAACGAAGTTCTGTTGCTCGATTAGTTCGAATAGATGAATCAAGTAATGTACCACTCATTACACTATTTTGACTATTTCGTGTTGATGAACGCTGAACATAAGAAAAAAAAGTGACAAAAGATAAATATTTTATTTAAATTATTATTTTTTTTCTTATAACTGACAAATGTTAAAAGTTCACGTGGTGTATTTGTTCGATGAATAGAACCAATTGAATCTCGAAATGAATTATGTGTTATTCGTCCCATATCCGTTCTCTATTGAAAATTATTCAAAAAAAAAAACAAACAATCATAACAAGAATAACATTATTATTTACATGCGTTAAACGAGATTTGTTTAATTCATCATACCATTCTTGTTGAATTGGTCGTTGAGATCGTGGTGTTTCAGATGTTAACTTTAAACAAATTAATTTAATGATATTTTATTGATGACAAAAAAAAATGCTTTTTTTCTTTTTACTTCAAGACTCGGAATATGTCGTAATGGAACAAGTGCTTTAGACGATGGTCTTGATAATATTGTTGCATAATCAATACTTGTTCTATGTTCATGCTAAAAGAATTATCATATAATGTCTTTTGTTTTTTTTTTTTGTATTCCTGATTGAAAACTACCGTTGTCAAAGAAGGATCATAATGATACTCAATAGCTAATTGATCATTTGATGATGGACCTTCAATAGATAATTGTGGTAGTTTATTATGATCTCTTTTTCGTTTAAGTGGTGGTAACTATAAAATAAATTATTTAATAAAAAGTATATTAAAAAAACAAAATGATTATACTTTATGAACTCGTTTTCGTCGAAGTTCAAAATCCCATCCTCTTCGAATCTTTAGATAAAAAGAAAAAAAGAATTAATAAATTTAATAAAAAAAAAATTTACCGAATTTGCATTTGATATTTTTGGATTGTAGATTAAATTAACACTTCGTGTTTTACTTACAGAATTCCATTTCGGTCGATTTGCTGGAGACTAAAATAAATAAATTAAATAGATTAGATTCATAGAATTTTAAACCTACATTTACAGGTCGAAATTGAGATAAGAAAATAGTTGAAAAACGTAGATCAAAAGCCATTTTCTCGTTCTTCTTATGATATAAAAAACGAATTTTATTAAATCAAAAAACAAAACTTTTTATTTATATTAGTTTTTTTTTTTTGTTTTTGACAGTAACTATAAGAAAATTTTCTAGATAAAACATCTGTTCAATACCTAACAATAAATGTCATTTGTCATTTTGAAGAAAAAAAAAAATCGATTATCAAATTACGTTGTTTCATGATATTTTATAGTTAAATAAATATATATATAATAATACACCTATTGATTTAACTTTTGACAGAATACGAACAAAAAAAAAAAATTCTTTGAATTTTGCACGATATTTTCATTAGAATTTATTAACATGATGATTGTCAAGAGAAAAATGTATAGTGCAACAGAATCCAAAGAAAGATGAAGGTAAAAGAAGTTTTTTACATTCTCTTTCTCTCTCCTTTTGCATATACATTTAATTTAAGAAACGAACGTTCGTTTTGTTTAGATATAATTGAAAAAAAAAAGAGTTTGTCAATAACAATGAAAATTACCTCGTTATTCGCATCAACCTCTTATACGCCTCTGAGCTCCTTCTTACTTATTAGCTTTTCTTTTTTTTCTTATTCTATCTACACATACAAACTCGCCCTTCTTTTTTTTATTATTTCTTCACTTTCTCTAATATTAATGTTTTGAGTAAAGTGAAAAATACAACAAGTAAAAAAAAACCATTTATTATATTACATAGAGACTATATTACCTGTACTTGAGTTTTGTTTTGTAATCCATCATTGAAATTTTCTTCGATATGATCGTTTAATTTTAATTCTTCTTCTTGTTCTTCTATTAAAGAATCAATTTTATTTGTTGTATTAATAATATCATTCCATTTTGGTTCATAATATTGCTAGAAGAATTTATTAATAATAATAGATTGTATAATAAATTTTATACATACAGCAAAAAGTGCTTTGTTTTTTGTTACTTGAGGTAGATCTATGTCTGACCAATGTTTTGTTTTTTTTTGTATATCCCAATTTATTAAACGAGTAATACGTAGTTTAGATTCTTTTTTCCAATGAACTGCATGATGAAAAATCTTAAAATCCAAAACAAAAAAAAAAAAATAAACCAAAGAATTTAATATCTAATCAATTATTAATTTACTTTAATTTGAGATTGTTTTGGTTGATAATCTTTATTTTCCCAGATTGTATCTTTTAATTTAGATTTTTTTCTCCATAGAAGTTTTTTATGAAAAATCTATAGAATAAATTCAAATAAAGTTAATTAATTTTAATAAATCTAATGTTTACTAATTTTGTAGATTGTTGTGAATCAAACGATATATTATCCGAATAATTTTGTTGTTGTTGATGATGAGAATTTATATCGAAAATCTAATGTAATGAAAATATTAACATTCTTGTTTTTTTTTCGTTTTAGAAAATGACAATAAAGAATAATAGAAAATTTAAATTGATTATAGTACTTAGAATGAAAAGATCAATATTATTTTTGAAATGGCCTTATACTCAATTGAAGAGTACCCAGTAGTAATCATTCTTTGTTGATAAGTATTTGAAAGAAGACAAAGAAAAAATACCGCTAGCCTAGCGGCAGATTTATTAACTCGATATCTTCCCTATAACTAATACTAACTATAATTCTGTGTAGAAGATCAGTCTGACACCGGGTTCTTGCACTCCCAATAGACACTAACCAACTACGAGAGCAAGCTATATATCACAACATAGTCATCATGCTATCAAATGGATGATCCAAGACAAACAGACATTAGTGACTTGTTCAGGATCATTTCCTGGTTGATTGTACTGTGTTTTGAATACAATACTTTGTGAATACATGTCGAACAATGCAGTCACTCAGTCATTGCAGCTTTTGAAACAGTATTTGACATAGGTATAACAAGTTTCACCAAAATTCGGATTTGTTTTGGTTGAATTAAGGGCTTCTTATTCCCTTTTCTTCTCATTTTCAGTTATTCTTTAGTCACAGTCAATGCTTAATTAATCTAACAACTTAATCATACAAGCATTTACTTCACAAATTTAATATTTTATATGTTCGGTCATTTTCTAAAATTTACAAGTATTATGACCCTTGATCGTAAAGAAAATGATTAATACCATAATAACACTGTAAAAAAATAAGCGTAAAATAATAAATCATCATAAACCCGTGCAGGTGAAAAGTTTATCATTGCAAGTTTCAATTATAACTTTACAATACTAGACTCTTTGTTTAAGAATTTATTCCTTTTATATATTCAAAAAGGGTATTGCAACAGGTCACAAAAGTATTGCCAAGGATTATAAAAATAGAAAGATTTTTATGAAAAGATAAATTACGCTCGTAAAATGTGAAAATGATTTATGATAATAGAAATAAACGATATTCTACGTTTACAGACAAGATCAAAGTTATTGGCCTAGTATTTAAATTTTAGAAATTAAATGTTACTGTATTGCTTTATTATTCTAGAGTACTTTGACAAATGCTTTACTGTTGTAGGACTTACATTGACTGACAGAAGAAGTTATTTAGATACAAAATACAATTGGAAATGTTCTTGCCTGTTATTATATGTTTCACTTATTGTCTATATTTTTGTTGTATGTCTAAGTATTTTGAAAAATATTTATGATGATCGTCTTTTTGTTTTAAATTACTATTTGTTAGTATCGAATCTTTGTGGAAATAAAACAACCGAAACTAATTAAAATGGTATACTAATACAGAGTTATAGAATTAAATGTATTCAAAAACATCAATCGATCTGGTTTGGCCCGTAGGGATTCCGTTGAATCAGACCAGACAGGAAGACTGTAGTCTGTTAGTCATTCTCCGGTAGACATCTTATCAATAAGAATAATTTACCTTTGTTTTAATTTCAGATTCTTGATCATTAGTATATAGATTATTGTCATCAAGATTTGATAATAATGAAATAGTTTCCATAAGAATTTGACGATGTGGATTAATTTTTATAATTTGTGGTAATTTGGATTCACTATGCCATTTAGGTTTTTTATCAAAGATCTAAGTTTTTTTATTTTCTTTAAATGTTAATTGAATGAGAAAAGAAAATTTTTGAATATTTACTTTAAAATGATTTTGATGTGGTTTATGATGAAGATTTTCATATGAATAGGATTTAATTTTTGATTGTACATTCCATTGAAGTGTTTCATGAAAAATTTTTGGACGTCCATCAGGTGGACACCAAAGTCGTCCGAATAATTGTGGTGGCAATGTCTGAAAAAAAAAAACAAACATTTCATAATAAAAAAATTTTTTATATTCAATTCAATTAATTTTACTGGAGGAATTTGTTGTTGAGATTGTTTTCTATTTTTTTTTAATTGATCTTCTTTAATATCAATTTGATGATTAGAAAATTTTTTTTTATATGATTTTATCTTTGATAAAATTATCAATTTTTTTGGTTGATATTCAAAATTAGCAAATGAATTAACACGTGATCTTACATGTGAATATTTATCATTCGATGAATGCTAAATATAAAATATTTAATTTAAAATTAATAAAAGAAATTTTGTTTTTTTTTTTTTTTTCGGCAAACTTTTTTTGTTAAAATACTATTAATACGTTCACGCCAATTTTTTAATGGATGATATTCTTTTATTTGAAAATGTGAAACATTATCAGAATTTGATACATGATGTTCTTGTTTGGATTTTTGATTTGTATTTGTTGAAGATGAATCTGTTGTCTAAAATTATTCAAATTATTATCACTATTTGTCTTGTTTAAGACATACCTACATGTGTCTGTGCTAATTGATCATGAATAGATTTTTTTTGTCGTTGTTTTGGTCGACGTACTAAAAGAGATAATTTTGAACGTCGTTGACTTGCTGTAATTGGTGGGAAAATTTCTTCTTCAAGCGTTGGAGACAATGAATGTCGATCTTCATGTTTAGAATGATCTTCAATAGTTACTTTTGGTTCTAATAATGGTGATGCTGATTTTTCGACTTGATTATTAATATAATCGGGAGATATTGTTTGTCTCAATGTATCTTCTTGTTCGATAGATGTTAGATTAGTACCAGATACATCACTATGACGAGAAGAAAGAATTGGTAAATGTAAATTATCATCTTCAATTTCTTTTGTTTCAATAGTTAATGGTGAAACTGATTTTAATTGATTATTTTCTTGTTCATGTATTGATAAAGATGGTGAATGATGTTGATTTTCATTTGATTGAATTTCTTGTAATAATACAGAATTTCTTGAAGGATTAAGTTCTTCATGTTCTATATTTGGTTGTTGAGAAGATACAGTTTGAAGATTTTCTGTAGTATTTGCATCATCGAGATTAATAATATCTGTTGATGTAAAAAGTATATTTTGATTAAGTGAAGAAATTGAATTGCTTCTTTCAGGTGATGCTGCTCTTGATGATGATACTGGAAAATTATCAGGATCAGGTGAATAACGCACAACAGGAATTGGTGAATTACGACGTGATTCATTTGATGTTTGTTGTTTATTATCAAGGACATGTTCTGTTTGTTTTATTGATGTTTGAGTAATATCAGGATTAGATGTAAATGATTGTTCTCGAGAAATAATATTCATTGATGGATTTTTAGATGAATGATGTAAAGAAGTAGATCGTTGTCGACTTAAATGAGATTTATTATTCATTGACATTGGCCTTGAATCAGTAGGACTTGTATTTTTTGAAGTAGTTTTATTCGTTATTTTTTGATTAGACTTTGATAAAGATGAATGAAAATTAGTTGATAAATTATTTAATGTATTTTCTAATGATTGTTCATTTATATTCATGTTTAACGATGTTATTAATGTTTCTGGTTGATTTTCGTTACTATTATTGTTATTTCTAACAGACTGAGTTTGTATGTCGTCATCAATTGAAATTGGAAGCATTTTCGTTGATGGTGATGTTGAAATTGAAGTAACAATGTGTTTCGTCGATGCATCGATTTTTTTCTTTTCTGTTTCTTTAACATATTGGTTATTATTTTCTTGTTGTGATGCATGAGAATTTGGTAGTGATGTTTGAGATTGTCGAATTAAAGTATTAGTACTTCTATTATCATCAGGAATAATTTCCGATGCAGTTGGTGGAGCAAAATGATAAGGATCAATTGATATAAGATCTTCTTCACCTTCATATTCATTTCCAAAATCACTAAAAAAATAATTCATATCAAAATCTGTATTATCATTGTCTGGATTTTTCATTGTTTGTGAACAAAGCGAAGGTGTTTCTTGAGCTCTTATTGATAGACGAGAATGTTTAATAGGTTTAGAAAGTATTGTATTAGTTAAATTTGATTCTACTGGATTGGATAATTCATGAGAGTTGACAATGTTTTCAGATGAAATTTGAAGTTGTTTAGATTCAGGTGCAGTTTGAATAAGTAATGGAAAATCTTTAATATTTAATTTACTAGATGATGTTAGATCATGTAAAGATGTAACAGTTAATGATCGAGCAAAATTTGTATCAATTGGATTATTTTGATGAAGATCGTCTGTTGATTCATTAGTTCTAATGTTATAATTATCAACATATTGTGGAACTAAAATTAATGCACGATTTTTTGGTAAATCAGATTGTTGACGACGAAATTGATTAAGAGAAAAAGTTTCATGAAAATTAAATTGAGATATTTCATCAAATGTTGATTTAAGATCAGAATTTTCAGGATCATTTTCACGAATTTCAATTTCATCTATTTCAGGTCCATAATGATATTGACCAACAAATAAATTTGAAGACATTTGTTTAGATAATTTTGGTGTTGATTGTTGTGATGTTATTTTTGTTTCACTTGTTATACGTGGAACAACTTGATAAATTCTTTTCGGTTTATTTGGCCAAATTTGTTTTTCATCATTAGGTAAAGGAATCTTATTGCCACTTGACATTTGTCGTACATCTACTATAGGCGCAAGACGAGGTGAAACATAATGTGAAATTGAAGGTCGTCTTTTTAATAAAGATAATTCTTGATCAATTTCACTGATATTTTGTTGAATATCTTTTAATAAATGTTCACGCATAACACTAGTTGTAGCAAGACGTTCATCATTGATTGATGATTGTCGACTTAGATTTGGTGGTTTATATATTATTGGAAGTGATGTCACTGAAGATCGATGATATTTAGAAAGTTCATGATTGTTAACTACTGATGTTGGTTCAGCTAAATTCGAAATTGCTGTTGATGATTGATCTTGATGTTGTGTAGTACGTGGTGTAGAATGTGTGAGAATGGGTGTTGCATATGAATACGAACCTTGTCGAGTACGTAAACGACGATCATAATATTGATAATGAGCATTTCGTGAAGATAATGAATTTGATGAATGTAGAAAAGAATAGTTTCTATACTCGTTATTTTGATTATAACGACGCATACCATTTATTTTTTTTTATTTTAAGATTGAATATAAAAAGAAAAAGAAGAAAAATGGTTGATTATGTTTTTAACTATATTTATGCATGCAGTAAGTATGTTTGTTTTTTTTTCGTTTTTTTTTTTTCGTTGAGTAAAAAACATTTTACTGAATAAACAAAGTAGTTTTTACGGCGCTCTTCTTTGCATCTCTTATTCACAAATGTATGCGTATAATTGACATAAGCTTAACTTGTAGAATAGAGAATTAAGTGAAACATTGTTACATAAATGTGCTTTATCCGCTCATTCACAAGTGAATGCTATTGAAGTATTCTTTAATTATCAATGTACATACATATATATTTGATCATTAGGTCAGTTTCAATAGATAAGAGGATAGGCATGTAAAGATAGCTTTTAGTTAGAATATGTATTCATTCACGCTATTGGAAATTTTATGTTAAAAACTGAACTGGATCTTTTTGTCACAAATTTAATTAAAATTCTAAAGACTGATGATCAGTTTGAAGTATAATATTGAGAACAAAGTCATTAGAATTTCATTAGGCTTATACGCGTATCCAGTATTAGTTTAGAAACCTATAATTTGTTGGCAATGGTTCAAAGATGACTTATACGATATAGTTAGAAAGTGTATTCAATTCTTTTAAAAATATGATTATTTTACCAAATATGATTTTATTGCTTACAACGATTCAATGATTAGAATCGTTTGATATATTTTTCCATGCGAGTCGCCCTCTCTCTATATCTTATGTACCATTTGGTAGAATAAAAAAAAGTACTAATTCATGCGGTTTCGAGCTCTACGACGTGTAAAGAGAACGTGTTTGCACTTTTCGTTGCCGTAGGCAACGTTAGTGAGATTATCATTATGGCAGAAAAAAGATTGTACATGATGATATTGGTACGCTCCTTCTCTAAACTTCTTCCGCGGATCATACATTACTTGAGAGAGCTTCCACGAGGCGATCGAGGAATGGAAGGATTGATTATATTTTAGTTTTTCGATTTGACATGCGCACGTGGCTGAGTTAATAAAAACCTATTCTCAACAAGCATTTGAGTTTGACTTCGAAACCTTGAGTTTCTAGCCGAATACAATATTGATCATTGTTGAGAAATTGGTGTTGGTGTGGTCTTCTATTCACCTACATCATATCTACTCCACGCTCATACCCTCAATGGAACAGTATGATTCATGAATCGGATACTTCGATTATTATACAAGGGAAAAAAATGAAGAATGGCTTATGCTAATCTAACTGATAAAGGAAAAAATCCTATTGATTACAATTCTATATTCAAGACATATCTGATAGATTAGACAATTTAAATGGATATTTTATATAAGAGTGATAGGATTTCAAGTCATGAAACATTATTCAATTATTGATAATGTATCGTACTTTACTTTTGTCATCTGAACGGACATCATCAACCATCAACTATCGATCAGAACATTTTGTTTGTAACAAAGCTATTTCATCTAACAATCAAAATCTACAAAATATATATTTGTGCTGTTCTAATCCATCGATAAAGATTGAAGAAGTTTAACAAATTTCAAAGTGTTTGATATATATATATATATATGTAAGGAACATAGTGAATTGGAATCTCGATTAGCTCGAATGAAAGAGAACAAAATGAATGGATTTCGAATAGAAGTTTTGAACGATGTAAAAGAATTAAAACATATGAAATAAATATCGCTGTCTAAAACGTGAATATCAATCAAAGATGATAGTCGTCCATCAGTTTATCATAAACAATTCCTTTATATAATATATTGCTAGAATAAAATGAGAACTAAAATATTCCTAGAAAAAAAGAAATTTGAAGGTAATCATATTTCTTTTTAGTTTACTTTTATGTATGACTCATTGATAAATTCTTCCTTTTTTTTAGCTAAGAAAAAAAACAGTACTAAGTCCTGTTCTTAATTGTCTATAGCTATAAAAATACGTTCTACTTTTTGCTTTATATTATTCTAATAGACATATTTTGAGTTTTCAGTTATACAGTGAATATTGTTATCGTGATCAATATTCTCTCTCGTGAATATTACGAAATTACAAAACATGAAATGTTTTGTTTTTCATGCAAATATAGTGGATATTTTAGTCATTTTGATCATGACGAAATCTTCTTAATTATTAAATAAATCGTAGATTGATAAGGCTAAAATTTAGAAGATTTTATTTATTCTAACGTAAGTATCTTTTATAAGATATCTAGAAATAAATATAACTAAGAACCAGCGTATTTGAGGGTGAAGGTGAATGTGAGTATTCTCTTCTTCGGCAATCGTAGCCACACCGTTCAGTGCTTCCTTTCTCTCTCTCCAATCAAGTTAGTTTGTTGACAGTGAGTCACAAATAATAAAATAAAATTGTTTGTGCGCACTGTCGTTGTTTTTTTACCACCACCACCAACAACATAAGTCAAAACTATTCTCTGTAGTAACCGACAATCTTCTATGAATTGGGTACGCACATAACTTAACTTTCTGATCCAATGGCATTAGAAACCCATTTGATATGTACCGGTCTATAATTTGAAGATCTTACGATTATATACAATAAGATTGCAAGTGTTTATTTAAGATAAAACAAATATGAATTGTTATTTATCAACGCTAAGATAGTTCTTGAACATTGTCCAAAAATTCATAAGTTACTTGCAGTAATGATATAATTTTAATGAATTTTCAAGAGATACTCAACATAGAAAAAGAATTATTTTCGTCTAATAATTTTAGTTTTGCTACAACATATAACAATATTATAGCAGTCTATTCTGTTAAAGAATATTATAATACAACATTAATATATCAAAAAGAACTTAAAATTCATTTAATACTATTGGAATGGAAAGATTTAAATCCTGTAGTGACATATCGACATCTTAGCATATTACGTATTATAAATTAGATATGTTGATATAATAAATACAAATGATCAGAGACCGAAAGAGTGTGGGTGTGAGAAGATCATACCATCATTCACAATCAAGCCTGTACTCACAACTAGGATGTGAATATAGGTTTGGGTATTGATAGGGATTTGATTGTGGATGGTGGTGTTATCTTCTATTCATCTATATTACACCCACAATCTTCATCTTTTGCTTCGTTCTGTTATCATTCCATCTTGTTACTAGTGTCCTATGAATCAGAATATCAGATTTAAATATCATCGAAATTTTATTTATAGAGACAAAACAAAAGCAATACTATGTTTGTTTTGACAAGACACGCTCAATGTTTTGTGTAATTCGAATAACATCAGGATTGGTTGGAAGTAGTGCATGACGAAAGATGGCTGCTGCTTTTTCTAAATATGTTAGTGCTTGTCGTATGTCACCTTTTTGTTCATAAACTAGACCAATATTTTCGTACGTTGTTGCAAGATCAGGATGTTGAGGAGAAAGAGACTTTTCATAGATATTAAGTGAGAGATTGTGAACTTTCAATGCAAGATCATATTGACCAAGATATCGATGAACTTCTCCAATGTTATTATATACAGCACCCAAATGAGAATGATTAGCAGGAAGATGTCTTTGCCATATAGCTAAGGCTTTTTCATAATAATCGAGTGCTTGTGAATACTGCTTTTGTTCGTAATAGACAACACCTATATTATTTAAACACATAGCAATCTTCAAATGATCATGATTAAATGCTTGTCGGAGAATTATCAAGGCCTTCTCGTATAAATCCAGTGCTCGGACATAATCACCTTTTTTTCGATATACAACAGCAAGACAATTGTAGGCATCTCCTAGACGAGGATCCATTGGTTTTAGTGTTCGTGTCCATCTGTCTAACGCCTTGTGATGCCATTCAAGACTTGAATCATAATCACCTTTCTCATCAGCAATTACGCCAAGTGCATGATAGCAAAGAGCAATATCTTGATGATTACGAGGTAATCCATTGAGAAAACGATGAATGTATTTCATGGCTTCATCAAATTTGCCCATATCGCGAAGTACTTGACCAAACGAATAAAGACTTGTTTTTCCAGCTTCAAGTCGTGCTTGCATATGATCAAATATTGGCTTCAAATCGTGATCATTTTCACTGCACAAAATCAAATGAATAATCCATATTTGACCGTCACCACGATAAATATCGAAAAGTCGAAAGATCGATCCTAACATCATTAATACTTCATCTTCACCAGGAAAATAACTCAATGACGTGATATTAGCAAATGGTTTGATACCTTTCAGTTGAGGATCAGCTTCGATTTTGAACAAGACTTGTTGCAAATCATCCGAAACTGTCGATGATGATGATTGAAGAAAAGAAATGGCTAGTTGACGATTGGTACTGGTCGAAAGAAATGAATTCATCGAAATGAGTTGTCCAATGGAACTTTTTAATGTTTGTAATTCTTCGTTCGACATCAATTGACCACGATAAAGACAGATAGGTGATGAACATTGATATTGTACAAGTTGTTCTTCAATATCGCGCATAAAGAATCGAAATAGAAAAAGTAGGTCAATATTCTGTGTACGAAGAGCTTTGTTGAGTAATCGATAGAGAAATGATTCTCGAGTATACCACCATAGAGCTCGATGGGATACATAATCTTGTTGAAACTCACGAAGAATATTCAATTCGGTTTTGTTATCTTTGTATTCTTTTTGACACACAGAAATGAGTTCATTTTTATCATTTGAAGTCGGTTTCATTCGAAGAAGTGCATCTATCAACAACTGCGAATGAAGAAATTGACCATTAAGTCCACTCGTCGATTGTCCATGGTTAACACTTGTATTAAAAATGCTGATTGATATTGGTTCATCTATTTTACTGTGTATTTTTTTCGCTTGATCCAATTTAATCTGACTTATGAGTTCATCTAGCTGCGTGATAACACCAGTGACCTAAAATAAACCATTTTCAAATTGTCATAACTAAAATTTGTTTCAATTCTTCTGTGTAAAAATCAATACTATCTGCTATCAAAAATGTTCGCTTTGTTAATTCCTTTATTTTTCATCGTTTTCATTGATGATTTTCACATATATTTCAACAGCCCTCTATTAGCCATTATTCTTCTTCTGTCGATTATTTATTATTCTTGTAAATATAATAATCTCAATTGGAAGTTTCCGCTCTACCTTCTTCGTTTCAATGGCATTTCATCTTTACTACGATTTACAAAACGTAATCATTCAATTTTAACTATCTCACATTTTTTTCAAATATAAGATTTCAAAAAAAGAATACCTTTGCAAATTCCTTTGCCCATTGTTCATTTTTCTTTTTATCCGTACAGTAAACATATATAGATGATACTTGTCGAAGTTGATTAATACGAGGCACTATTTGTTGACCCAATCGGCCGCTTACAATCAATACAATGCGATCTTGTGAAGAAACAGATCGAATATATTGTTCACATTCGTCAACTTGTTCAAAGACTTTCAAGTGATTAATCAATGAACGCAGTTGTTGTTGAGCATCGATATTTTCTTTTGAATCAATCACAGAAGCATCAAGCCAAATCAGACTGTATGTTTCGAGGTTTCCATCTGTCATCACCAACGAACAATGTTCTGTCATGTCTATTATGCAGTGACGATTCAGAGTAAAGAAAAAGACTCGCTCACAATCAAAGTAACTGGCAGTGCGTTGAAGAAAACTGATGCGAGAAGGCTTTTTTCTGTCTTCTATCGAAGAAAATAAAGAGATGCATTGTTATTTTTTTAATGTTGTTCGATACATGGAAGAAAAAAGAAACGTGTGTTCTCGATAACGATGAAGGAGGTCGAGAGAGAGCACAAGATTTCTGTTTCTAGAAGAATGTTGAAATTACAGGTGTGATAAAAGCACTATCGAGAAATAACTCACAGTAGAATATGTAAATTATATTTCACTAGAAATCGTAGCATGCTTATTATTCATTGGCTTTGCAGTTCAGCGAATATGTAAAGAGCTGATTCATGGTATGCTGAATGGAATCTTTTTTTTATTCTAAAAAAAAATTCTTTTTAATTTTAAAAAATTACTAACAAATGATAAAATAACAGTCGTCATAGTATTATCTTTTTATGAATTGAAAGGATGACTTCTATAGAAGAATAATAGTTCATATTTAGTTTAGATATTCAACGAAAATGAATCGTAAGTACCCTTGCTCGAATCTCTTCACTCACGGATGTTTGATAGACTTCGACAACTCACGAAGGAGACATCTATTGGACAAAACCCATTTTATTTCTATCAAACTTCAATACCCCTCGGAAATAATCGTTCGGATGGCCGGAAATTACGCGTTAAATGACACATCACCAGCCCTCGGTCTACTGAAAAATGGAAATTCGAGGACTCAATATAGAATTTCGATATCCACGATAAGCTGAAAGCAATGCGTCAAAAATTCCTTGGCGATTTTCTAATTTGAAAATCAAATTTCTTATTCTTAATGAACAAATATCTTATTTTCAAAGAATTTAAAATTCATCGGTAAATTTATATGGGCATTCCTAGAATATCTTTGACTGAACTCTATAACTTATTTTCTAGTTTACAGTGTATATATGCTGCTAAAATCAAGTTTCTATCTATTACTGTGTGTGAATACTGCAGAAAATAAACTAGCTTTTTCTCCATTTTCCACGTATTTTTATAATAATTTCTCATACATATTTTTCTTTCGGCTTTTTTTTCTAGTTTAAACCAAGAAGTTTAATTCGTTTTCTTAGAGTATTCTAAATGTTCTTTCTACTCATAATCTCACTTTGAAATCAGCTATCTTCATTTCATAAAAAAAAGAATTTCTGTTAGTAATTTCAGAAAAAGTTTCTCACCTCGTTTTGACCCTTCTTTAAAGCTAATAAACTTTCTAGATCAAATCTTCATCCTGTACATTACTCTGAAAATCTGAATATATTATTATTATTATTATGATTTGTGTTGAAAATACTATCCGAGTATGGGGTGGGATGTGAGTCTAGAAGGATAGAAGATTCACATTCACAACTATTTTATTAATGTTTTTAATTCATTTATTTATTGTGTGTATAATGAACAATTTAGAAGAAAGCATTGTGTAGTTTTTTTCAAAAAAGAACGAGCAAACCTGTAACATTCTTATCATAAAGTTACACTTGCCACGTGATTGTGACAGAAGTTGAAATAAATTTGCCTCTGATAAACTATGCTTTCTATGATATTCTGAAAGACCTTCGAAGAGTCTATGGATCCTCAGTAAGAGGATGTTTTCAAAACCTGTGAAATTATTATACATTCGCAATATCATTCATTTTGGGGTGTGGATATGGGTATTGGTGCACCATCTTTACCCCCTCCTCCCACCTAGAACTTTACGCCCACACCCAAAAAATGCACCGTTCTATTTGTATCCTTAAAGAGTTTTTCTGCAACATACATCGTGTTATTGCATTACCATTCGTCATTCATCGAAGAGAAATCTAGATTTTTTTCTCACATTTATTTACAGAAGAATAGGCGTATCTATAAACAAAAATTCCTTTTATAGACATCAACGACATCACATCGAACAACAGACATACATAAAAGAAAAGAAACTTAGATACACGAAGACTTCTGTATTAATATGTTTGATCTGTTTGACAAAATCGAGATTGTTCATGTTTCATATCTGAGTAGAATGGACGTTAATACAGAATATTAAGTTCTTTCTGTTCGCTTGGCCAATCGAATTGACACTTTCTTCGGGGTAATAGTAACCATTTCCACCGTTTCCAATTTCTGACTGATATCCTGTGTTGGAAGAATGGTGTAGGTTTGCAAAAGACGAATCAATGTAATCTTGATCGCAACAAAGGCAAAGCGCATTCCGATACAAGCGCGTGGTCCAGCACCGAAGGCCACCCATGCCAGTTTGTGTCGTTCAGTAGCGAATCGTTTTGGAAAAAATTTATTCGGATCTTCAGGACCCCACAGTTCTTTGTTGAAGTGCAAATTATACATATCCAGAGTGATATTAGTATCCTTCGGAATTCGGCCCAATTTTGGCAGATCAATATCGTTGTCGCATTGTCGATTGACGACGATGGGTGAGATTGGATAGATTCGGAGAGTTTCTCGAATAAACCAGTCGAGATAGTCCATTTTCTTCAGAAGTTCATCGTTCAGTAGGGCATTACCACCTGTATGAAAATCGATGTGTTTTTGTAATTTACGTTGCTCATCAGGATGTGTGACTAGGACATGAGTCGCATAGGCTAATGCTGTACTCGTATTTTCGCATCCAGCAATCATGAACAAATAAATATTTTGTTTTACTTCATTCAAAGTCAAAGTACGATGATTAATATCACCCTAAAAAATCATAGAAAAGTGACGTTTTGATGAGCATCAATATTGGGAAAGGATAATATAGATAATTCTATTTCAGCTCTCTTCATTTGTCAATTCTTTCTTGTTTGCTTAGTGTTCTAAAGAAAATAACTCTGAATTTCTTTATTCGATCGAAAAGCAACGAAAACAAATGACTCTTTTCTTGTCCATATCTAATAGACAAGTATTTATTA